TGTAGTCTGCTCCTCTTCAGCTTTTGTTCTCCTGATGCAAACGCCTCTGAGTCACAGTGACGAACTTGACGCACTTCCTCAACGACCTGCAGACATTTGGTGACCATTCCAGCAGCTTTCCACACAGTTGCACAGTCTGCTCCTCTTCAGCTTTTGTTCTCCTGATACAAACGCCTCTGAGTCACGGTGGGAAAATTAACGCACGTCCTCAACGACCTGCAAACATTTGGTGACCATTCCAGCAGCTTTCCACACGGTTGCACACATTTTCGAAAGCTATTCGCCTCTATGTTCCCTTCAAAATGCTTTTCTGTCGTTTAGATCACCGGCATGGTGACAATGGCTGGCTCATGTTGTCATTAGTGCGTGTTACAAACGTAGCACTGCAAAGTAGCGGCAGCCTAGCTCACTGCTGCTGTGCAATACTAGTGGACTTCTTCAAACGTGTGCAGCCTGTTGTTTCACTGGCGTGCATATTTATAGGTCAACAAGTTCAATTCAATGATTGCGGAGAGAGCGGTGTTTATGTTACACGTTGTGACTAGACAAGGACGTTGTATTTGTCGGACTAGTACGTCCGAAATCCTCTGAAATCCTTTCTTATTAGCAGTAACAGTGTCCACAATATGGCATAATTCACCTTAGTTTCGAAACAGCATGCTGCAACAAGCGCCAGCCACCGCGAAACACTTGCCCCCGCGATTATGGAATCTTAAAACCTTCAATGCGCTTCCCAAGCTTCACCGTGGACTTTTATGTTTGGCATTTCCAAAGCACCACGCCTATCTTGTGTGCTGCAGCACCCGAGTGGCATTTTTGCGTGCCAGTGGAGCAGCAGGTGCACACAGCAGCACTTTTTGTGCCTTCAGTGCAGCCTCTTTGCTCAATGCACCACCTAAAGACGTCATATGAAGTCATATTCAAGCCCCATGCATGCCATAATGTAGTCTGCTCCTGTTCTCTTGCTGCAAAAGCCTCTGAGTCACAGTGACGAACTTGACGCACTTCCTCAACGACCTGCAGACATTTGCCACGCCTCAGCGTTCAACTATGTGTTTCGAAACAGCATGCTGCAACAAGCGCCAGCCACCGCGAAACACTCGCCCCGGCAATTTCAGTGTTTTCGACAGATTTTGAAAGACCCAAAATGCTACATGCAGTGCCTCAGAGCGCATTTCGTGTAGCAATATGTGTTGGGAGAAGCTGCACTGTTGGCTGGCAGCAAAAATATCTGAACAAAGCTGGCCCGAGCTTTCTAGCAGAACATCCCATAGAAGTTCCGTTTACCGTCGCTGCCCTTCTCTGAAGCAAGACTGTACATGTTTCTGATTGAATGCGGCGTTTAATTCACATATTAGAACATAACAATAAACACCATTAGCCAAGAAAAAGTGCATGCAGCAGGGAAGCTGAGAATTCGCATTTTCAAAGCTTCTGAACTTTCCAAGAAGTGCTTCGCCGGATGCGCGCACCTTGTGCTGCAGTTGCCGGCTTCTCGATTGGGCAGTAAACTCTGAAAGCTCTGCACTTTAACTGGCCAACTGGCCAAGAGTTTGCCAGAGTTAAGACCAAAGAAGCAATTTTGTGGGCCACAGGAAGAAGTCACAGTCAAAGTGGCTTGCTGCAGCAAAACAGCAGCACATTCCGCAGCTCCTGCGATCTGCCTGCGCTGCTTCTTGCAGATCCTGCAGCTTCCCACTTCATTGGCATGCATTTCCTCGCCACAAAAGTCTAATTCAAGTTAAAAGTTGCGCCGCCGCAGATGCTGCAGCAAAACAAGACCCTGGCGACCCGAATTTCCAGGCAGCCGCAGCTTCGCTGCGCTGATCTTTGCCGGCTGTCAGCAAAATTTGCATTTCAAATGCCAAAAGAAAGTCATTTGATGCCACAAAAGCCATCTTCATTTTCATCTAAGTGCTCTTGCATGCGCTTCACCTCGAAAGCCCCTAGTTTGCGCTTAGCAGGGGAGCTTCACAAGGCTCAGTTGCCTCAAGTTTAAAGCAAAAGTAAAACGAAGGAAAAGACTGCCCCTTTTATTTCCTTCTGGCTTTTATTTTGCAAATAAAAGTGGAATTCTTTTTTTTGCTGAACTCAAAACATTGAACTTGAACTGCACCAGTTGCTTGCAAGGCAAGCCAAGAAACCTGCGTCTTAAAAAGCTGCATTAAGTTTGTTCTTTTTGAGCAAAAAGTTTCTTACATCCTGCATTTAATTTAATTTATTTTTTTCTTTTTGTGCAAATTCGCAGCCCCCGTCCAAACATGAACAGCAAATGCAAAAAGGTTTCATCAAATTCAACTTTCGCGCTTGCGGATGAAAGCTGAATGACTCAAAACTCATTTCTCGGAAGACTTTCGGGAAAATGATTTAAATGCATTTCTTTGTTCGCTCTTTTAGGAGTTCCATTCGAAAGTTTCATTTTTAATTCCAAAAAGTTCAAAAATGCAAATCTTTCCGCCGAAAATAAACCAAAATTCGCCACTTTTCGGCAATTTTGCAAACTTGAACATTTTCTTTACTCAACGCACTTCCTGCAATCCCCCCGAGTCACTGCATGCAAATATTTGCTGCTAAAGCTCTAAAGCCACCCAAGTTCGCTTTGCTGCAGCAGGTTTTGAAGAACCGAAAACGCTAGAGGGTTTAGGGTTTAGGGTTTAGGGTTTAGGGTTTAGGGTTTAGGGTTTAGGGTTTTTGGCGGTTCTTGGGCGTGCGGCAGCCACACAGATGATAAAACCCTCCCTTTATTCTCAAGCACTGCACTCTGAGTTCCCAATTTTCTTTTTCAATTTCAATTTTCTCTTCAATTTGAATTAAATTGAATTAAATTGAATTAAATTAAATTAAATTGAATTAAATTAAATTTCGCTTTTTCGACTCTACAGGGCCTCACATCCTGCGGCCGCGCGCAGTGTCTGTACAGTGCAGCAACTGCAAGAAGTGCAAGTGGACTCTTTCAATTCCCAACTTCAAAATAAATAAATTTATTTCATTATTATCAGCAGCAAATGATTTATTTTTCACAAAGAATCCCCACGCATTGCCCGAATGTTCCTTAGGCCTTTGCTGCTTCGTGCAAGCCATATTAGCGCAGCTTTCAATCACCAGCCCCTGCAGCAGCAGCAGCAGCTGCTGCTGCTGCTGCAGCAGCAGCTGCTGCAGTCGCAGCATCTGCAGTGGCAGCAGCTGCAGTAGCACTTCTGCAGTAGCAGCAGCTGCAGTAGCAGCAAAAGTAGCAGCAGCAGCAGCTGCTGCTGCAGCAGCAGCTGCTGCTGCAGCAGCTGCAGCAGCAGCACCAGCAGCAGCAGCAGCAGCAGCAGATAGCGTGAAGCGCATCTTCCCAAGCGCAACGGAAACCTTTTAGCAAGAAGACGAAAGTGAAAATTTTAATTTAAAATTTTTTAATTTAATTATTTAAATGTTTTAAAACAAACTTTATTTGCTGCTGCTTCTGCAGCAGCAAATAAAAAAAAAAGCACTTTTTGCACTGGAGGTGCAGCAAAGCTGAAGCAAAGCAGCAGCAGCACATTTCCATTATTTTAATTTTTCCATTTTTTATTTGCATGCATTTTTAAAACAATTAAAAGTGTTTTTAAATTTATTTAAATTAATTTCGCATCGACTTTCGCCATACAGCCCAAAAGCCAGATTGCCAGCCTGAATTAATTTCAGACAGAGCCTCTTCATGCCTGCTGCTGCTGCTGCTGCTGCTGCTGCTGCGCTGCAGCAACTGCTGCTGCTGCAGCTCCTGCTGCTGCAGCGTTGCACCAGCTGCTGCTGCTGCAGCTCTGCGGCAGCTTATGCTGCTGGTGCTGCTCCAGCTGCTGCTGCTGCTGCTGGTGCTGCTGCTCCTCGCCAGTTGTTGCTGCTGCAGCTCTGAAGCAGCAGCTGCTGCAGCTCTGAGGCAGCAGCTGCTGCAGCTCTGCAGCAGCTGCTGCTGCAAGCTTGACTCACTGTGCAGTCGTTCTCGTCTCGGCCTTTCTCTGCCAGTCTTCTGCTGCTGAAGAGTTTAAATTTGCTGCTGAAGTTGGACTTGGAAAGAACTTTGAAGCAGCGCAGCACGAGAAAAACTGCTGCTGCAACAGCAAGAACAATGCTGACCACCGGCAGCAGCAGCTGCTGCTGCTGCTGCCGCCGGTGAAACCACCCCCGCGAATAGAGCTCGGGCTTAGCCTCCATGGGGTCTGCAGCAGCGGGGAAGAGGGGGGGAGCTGCTGCTGCTGCTGCTGCTGCTGCTGCTGCTGCTGCAGGGGGCGGGGCTCCTTCCGCGACTGCTGCTGCTGTTGGGGCGGGGGCGACAGCGGCTGCTGCTGCTGCTGCTGCTGCTGCTGCAGAAAGCACCGCTAAAAAGCAATGATGAAGGAGCTGCTGCTCCATTTCAGCAAAGAGACCGAAGCATGCGATCGCCTTCTTGCGTAGGCGCTGCTGCGGGAGGAATTAAAAGTGCAAAAAGACTTGAAATGAATTAAAAAGAGATAAAAGAAATCAAAAAAAAGCCAAAAAGGGGGAAAAAAGCAAAGAAAAAGGAGTTCTGCTGCGTCTTCCACTGAACCGGCGAGCCCTGCTGCTGCCGCCGAGCTCGCTGCTGCTGCTGCTGCTGTGTCTGCGGCAAAATCGACTTCTTTTCTCCCTCGAGAACTCTTAAAGTCTTTTAATTTGCAAATTTGTGCTGCAGAAAGCGAAAAAAACCCAAAAACTTCGCGTTTCCCGCCTTCCACGCGCCAGGGCTCTCGGCGGCTGCAGCCCGGCGCCCAGACTGCGATTCGCGCCCCAGCAAAATAGATCCAACTTGAATAAGTTCTTTTCTTCTTTTTTAATTTCAATAAAACAAAAAATTCCTTTTTCGGGAGTTTTTGTTCCCACTTGCTGCGCAGCCGGTGGAGCCGCCTCGCGCCCCAGTGTTGTCTTCTGCAAAGGCGCTGCGCTGCGCCGCGGCCTGAAACTGGGGGTTTTTCTCCGCTAAATTCAAAATTTATTTTATTTCAAATAATGTTAGATTGCGAAGTTCTCGAAAAGCTCCGTTTTGCTCCGCTGTACCGACACTGCACACCCGCAGCTGCCTTCGAGTGTGAGCGCTGCACGAACTGTGCAGAAATTCTCCACTAATTCGCCGCCCCTCCCCGAAAAACCAATTGGAATGCATTTAAATTAATAATTCTAATTAAAGAAGCCCATTTTAGCTTTAATTGTAGTCCGTTTATACCCCAGCGAGACCCGCAGCTCTCATATTCAATTCCGAAGCCGCCGCCCACGAAGTATGGGCGCACCAAAATGTTGAACCGGCCTTATTTTCCGGGTGTATGTACACCAGAACAATGTTCCACTTTAAAAATAAACAAATAGAGCAAAGACAAACATCATTTCGAGCCTTCGAGGCACTTCTGAATGCACACTAACAGATATTTGCCCAACGCCTCTCCCTACTGTACTTTGAAGGGCTATTCAGCAGCAGCTGGGAGCCCCCAGGGGGTGACCAGGGGGCCCCAGGGGGCCCCAGGGCCCCCATGGAGGCTCCCGGTGCCACCAAGGGCCCCCGTAGGGGCCCCCAAGGGGCCCCCAAGGGGCCCCCAAGGGACCCCCTCAGGACTCCAGAGGCCCCCTAAGGGCCCTAGGGGCCCTCTCAGGGCCCCAGGGGCCCCCCTTAGGGCTCCAGGGGCCCTCTCAGGGCCCTAATGTCCCCCCTCAGGGCCCCAGAGCCCCCCCATAGACTCGCAAGGTTGCCGGGGGCCTGCAGGGGCCCTTTGGGAGCCCCAAGGGTCCCTTGGGGGCCCCAAGGGGCCCCCAGTTGTTGCTGGGTTTTGCTGTTAGTGCCGAAGTGGTGACTTTTGGCAGTTAAATTAAAACCTTTTTTGGATACAATGTTGGCTGTAGCAAACCCTAAACCCTAGAAGAGTGTCAGCGGATAGGCAGCAGGCTTTCTTCTGCGTTTTAGGAGTTTTAGGGCGATTAGGGTTTAGGGTTTAGGGTTTAGGGTTTAGGGTTTAGGGTTTAGGGCCAAACCCTTGAGGAACCCGGTTAAACCCAATTGCCCATGTTGAGAGGTCCCGTAAGAAATAAATATTTAATTAAAATGTTTTTCAATATAACTCAAATTTCATTTAAGTGAATAAATAAACAAAATATATTTTTATTCTTTCCTTAAAATGCATCTTAAATTTCCTTTTATGTTTTGGAAAGACCAGAGACAAGCTATTAGGGTGTACAGACACCTCCATCATTCCTTTGCACTGCAGAAACAGCAGCAGCAGCAGCAGCAGAAACAGAAGCAGCAGCAGCAGCAATAGCAGCAGCAGCCGCAGTAGCAGTAGCAACAGCAGCAGCAGCAGTTGCAACAGCATCAGGAGCAACAGCAGCAGCAGCAGTGGCAGCAGCAGCAGGAGCAACACTCACAGCAGCAGGAGCAGTGCCAACAGCAGCAGCAGCAATATCAACAGCAGCAGTAGCAACAGCAGCACGAGCAGCAGCATCAGCAGCGGTAGTAGCAGCAGCAGGAGCATTAGCAGTTGCAGCAGGAGCAGGAACACTAACAACAGCAGCAGCAGCAGCAGCAAAAGCAGTAGCAGCAGCAGCAGCAAAAACAGAACGGGCAGCAGAAGTGGTAGCGACAATGGCAACAGCAGCAGCAGCAGCAGCAGCAGCGACAGCAGCACGGAGAGTAGCAGCAGCAGCGGTAGCAACAGCAGCAGGAGCAATAGCAACAGCAGCAGGAGCAGCAACAACAGCAGTTCCAACAGCAGCAGCAACAGTAGCAAAACCAGCAATAGCAACGGCAGCAGTAGCAACAGCAGCAGCAGCAACATCAATGGCAGAAGCAAGAGCAGCAGCAGCAGCACAAGTAGCAGCAGCAATAGTAGCAACAGCAGCAGTAGCAACAGCAACAGCAGTGGCAGCACTAGCAACAACAGCAGCAGCAACAGCAGCAGTAGAAGCTGCAACAGCAGCAGCAGCGGGAATAAAGCAGCAGCACTAGTAGCAACAGCAGCAACAACAGTAGCAGCAGCTGCAGCAGCAGTAGCAGCCGCAACAGTAGCAGTAGCAACAGCAGCAGCAGTAAGAACAGCAGCAGTAGGAACAGCAGCAGAAATGAGAGCAGCAGCAACAGGAGCAGCAGCAGCAACAGCAGCAGCAGCAGCAGCAACAGCAGCAGCAGCAGCAGCATATCTACGTCGGGTGTATATAGCGTCACCCCTTGGGGTGTACAGACAGCTGAGAAAGCTGCAACTAAAAATAAAATTTTGGAATTTAAAAATGAAATATTTTAAATCTAATTTGAAGTTAAATTCAATAATAAAGAAAATAATTAAAAATAAATTATTTTATTTATTTTATTTTGAAATTCCATTTTCCCTTCTTTCCCTGAATATCTGAAACTACAAAAATCAGTTTGCTGTTTGGCTCGCGCCAACAGCCGCAGCAGCACAAGCTGCTGCTGCAGCAGCTTCTGCTGCTGCTGCTGCAGCAGCACAAGCTGCTGCTGCAGCAGCTTCTGCTGCTGCTGCTGCAGCAGCACAAGCTGCTGCTGACACTGCTAAAAACGGGCGCGACCAGCGAGCCAACATAAAATAAAACTAAAGGTGCAGCAAATGCGTTGGCAGCAGCAGCACAGCTGCTGCGGGTGCTTCCTTTGCTGCTGCTGCTGCTGCTGCTGCAACAGCAGCAGCAGCAGCAGCTGCTGTCGTCGCAGCAGCAGCAGCAGCTGCTTCTGCTGAGTCACTTTGCAGCAAAAACGGCACCCATGTTTTGCCTTTTGACAGCAGCAGCAGCAGCAGCTGCTGCTGCTGCTGCTGCTGCTGTGAGTTTATTTAAATGAATTCAAAT